CTAAAAGCCACACTGATGACATCATTTTGGATGAGTTAGAAGCTCTCCAGAGGGCAGAGCAAAGCAGCTTTTACGAACTGTTGAGGAAAATCTCCCAAATCACACTGGATTGGGGGGTTACAGGGTTCTCTGCTCTCTCCATTATTCAAAAGGAAAATTGAAAAATATCAGTGAACAAGCCTGGAGCACTGACCTCTTTGCATTATACTGTGATTCTGCAATATACTGTGCAGAAAAGACTTAATATTTTTCTTTCATCCTACAACCTGACTTCAGACTCAGTGTAAAATACAGTTAGAATGTTAGTGACTAAACAGTGTATGAAACAGGACCCTTTAAACATTTGTGTGTAACAGTGCAGGAATCATACCAGACCACTTTAATGACAGCTACACCCATTCTGCTAATTTTGCTAATTCAGCGATTCTTCTCTGTGAGCACTGTACAGAAGCACAGGCTGTGAGTGTGGAATTACACTCATGGAAGGCTCTACCAGTTGCATTTACACTGTTTAACTAGCAGAAAACCGACGAGGGGGCCAAATGCACAGATGTATGCATTCAATTAACAAAGCAGCTAAATGCTCAGTTAGGTGCTCATCCTATAAACATATCATAACATACAGTGTTAAGAGAACTGTGACATTACCTGGAGTCTACAATACTAATTCAGTCGAAAATAGAGAAGAATTTTCTGACTCTCTTGCTTCCTCCCTCCCCTTTACTCGTGGACTGGACCCCAAGACACATGAACTCCTCCGCTTGGGTGGGCAAAAGTTCACAGGCTTTGTTATGTTACAGATGTTATGTTCATCTTTTAGGTACAGTTTATGGACAAACTATGCAGCCTATTTTGTAAACAGAAGTGAGCACAGTGGATTAGGAAGAGCAGTGTCTGGACCAGAAAAGAACGGGCTTGTTTGATGTTAAACTCTTCAAAATAAATTCCAAATATTTTACTTTTTTACAAAATGCAGGTGTTGAGTCAAATATAAGTGATATTTTCACACATAATTTTCTCTTTTCTAACGCTTTCTAACGCTACAACACACACACACACAAACACACACACACACACACACACACACACACACACACACACACACACACGTGCTGTAGGAGTAACTACTTATGACAGTGAAACAAGCCTGAACATGCAAATCCCCTAGATCTGCATACCTCCATAATCATAATTTAAATAGGTATATTCATCTCACACATCACTCACCCTCAGTACTCTTGGATTTTTTGTTTCTTGCTTGCCCAGTTTGGAGCTAGTGACCTCGGGAGAACAGGTCAATGACATATATTGTGGAGGTAAACACAGACGACACGAGAGCTCTCGATTAACACTGCTGGTTTATTACTCATCACCACACAACTGAATAATTTTCCCTCCAAAACACAGCAACAACACTTCCTGAGAACTGGGTGTGAGTGGAGCCCTCCAGTGGTCCCCCACAATATTTACATATATTTAGACGTCTCTCACTTTAAAAAAAAATCTGAATACTTTTAAGCAACATATCCTAAATTCACTGCATTAATCTGGTGTATTTGATAAAAACATTAAGGTGGTGTAAAAATGACACACCTGCAAGTACAAGAACAGGGAATATCATCACAAAACCAAAGTGTTCTGCGAAGACTAAAAAGATGAAAATAAAGAAAGCAGAAGACTGGAGATAAAAAAAAAGAGCAGGCACAGGAAAGAATATGAATCCACTCCTCATATTCCCTGTTGTTCCATGTGAGCACACTGTGCACAACAGAGGCAGCCCAGAGGGATAAATTTGTATAAATGCTCTATTCATAAATGTCAGAAGAAGCTCAGGCAAGCAGGGGAGCTGAAATCTTACTCCTCTTATGTTAAAAAGCACCAGGAACAGGGAGGCCACTTTAAAAAGCATTCCAGAGGCCAGGTTGGACTGCTCCCTAGAGATGGGAATAAGAGACACAGGAAATGAGCATTTTGGCACAAGCCCAGCTCGGTGCAGGTAAAATCTGTCCATCAACTATGCTCAATTAATTCAAAGATGTTTGGACTGCTGGGTAGAGGAGGGTGGCTTGGGAGCAAAATGGGTCAAAACAAGGTGAGGAGGATGGAAAGGATAAGTAATCCCAGATTCTGGCTCTGCTTCCCAGAATGACTTCATAGGAAGACAGAAAGTGACCAACAGAAAGAGAGATTTTTACTCCTCTGACAGGCATTCAAGAAAAAATATATCAAAGACCACATGATAAATGTAAGACATGGTCAGTATATGTGTTTTAACAGTGATGATGTTACTCCCTATTAAGAGAGGGTTTGCATAATGATGATATTTTTCTACCCTGCATATCTTGAAGAGAGTGAAACTGGGTCACCTTCTTACATTACATAAATTTATACAAAAATATCAATTATACCCTGGTAATATCAGGGAATAACTATTTGGAAATTCTTTATAGATAAAAATAACTACTCTTATTGTCTCCTGTCTATAATCACCCAACAAATGAAATGCTTTTCACAGTCAGGTGTTTCACTACATGCATGTATGTTACAACACTGTATACGCTGCGGGAAAAGTTACAACAATATGAACACTACAGCAAAATCTTTGATTTGTGTGTAGATATGTGTATGTAAATTCTGTGTGTCCCTTGCAAAGGTTATAGCCAGAGCTAAAAGAGTGTTATTATGTACTCATTTTAATCACTTGTGGGGGATTCATTATTCACATAAACATTCCTTTTTATCTACAGATACAGATTATCTTAGCTGAGGCTTGCTTTGTCACATGTAGAAGAACAGAGGAAATGAACTGTGGGCTGGCAGTGAAAAAGTCAACTCAATAACATCTTTATGATCCACAGTATCTCCCAATGTCTCTAACTCACAGTAGGATAAAACTAAAACAAGTGGGGACAGAAAACACTTTTAAAATGTTTGAACTAAAAGTAAGAATGATGAGCATGAACAAGCCATAACTCCTGCCCATCTTAATTAAACTGACTACAGTCTATAATCCATAATAATTCAAGGTAATCAAAACATGAGTTTAATCAAATCAAAAACAAGTTTAATCTTCATAACTACTTTAAGCATTTGGGTCTACAGTGTACAGCTCAGTTATTGAGGTTGTGTTTGCCACAATCACCCATGACCAACATGTGTTGCTGGGTGGATGACTGTTACTGTGTTAGCACGGAGCCAGAACAGAGACGATGCTCTGTTCTTTGTGAAGACAGAAGAGCTGCTGCTCAAGCTGTCGAGCTGGTGCTGACTAAGAGTGGTGATTACCTGCCATTAAAATCTTTATGGAAAACAAAGCAGCGAGTCATGATCTCAGAGTTTCATTTAACCAACCAACATCACTGTTAGCAACTGAAGTCATAGAATTACACTAACACTTATCTGAAAAGACAGATTCGTGATCAAATTTTACACATGATGGTTTTCAAAGTGGCTGGATATTATTTTCTGTCAACAAACAACTTTTGAAGTTGGAACTCAGTGAGAATGAGTTGGTAAGCTGTGGTAGAAAGCAACCTTTAATCTACCAGCTGGTTCACCCTGAGCCTGCAGTGTACAAACACGTGCATCATCACAGATGACAACACACATTACCCACTGTAAGCTCACCATCAGAAGGATACGACATGTTCAATGGGCAAGCGGTGGTCTGCAGAGATGGAGGAGGTGCTGAGCCAGAGCTGAAGGAGAGGGGCAGGACGGGAAGAGCAGGTGGGACGCTGACAGCGGAACAGACAACAGCAACGAGCGCAGCAGAGCACCGGGCTGGGCCAGCTGTAAAGTGTATTCTAATGTGATTTGTCATTACATAACAGAAGCTGGCACACAGCAGAGCCACTCCACGCTGCAGCCCAAGAACATGCACACAGACACACACCAGCAGCAGCAGCAAGCCTCACAGCACTTAAGGTCATTCCTCTTCTGTTTGTATCAGGACAGTTAGCAAGTCGACTTAGTGGATTTGTTTAGTTCTTCACTTGGCATAAAACACACTATGTTTTTGGCTGCACTCATCCAAATTACAGAGAACACTTTTCAACTATAAAAACAACAATACACAAAGAAAACTGACAAGGGCACTCAGTGAGCAAACAACACAGCCAGCGATCACATGACTGGCTGAGGAGTAAACATCAATAGTTATTTAGAGTAGAAAGTACCACACACTTTTTTCCTCAACAGACGGAACTGACTGTCAGAATTTTCCTCACACCTACATTTATGTGTACATGTGATAGAGCCCATACAGAAACAGCAAGAGGCAACCTCCTCCTCCTATACTTTGTGTTGCATACATACAGGTCAGCCAGAATGATTTATTCCTGCATCTAACTCCACTGTAACACTACAATGGGATTCATACGAGCAGTATAGTAGGAGCAGCTGTAGTGTATGAGGGGGATTAAATGCTAGTTATATAACCAGTGACCTGCCAGTGCAGCCCTACTGATCCTGGCCCAGCAGAGTACAGCTCGGCTTAAGAGAGCGGCTTACCTCTGCAAATGATTCATTCAGCGTTAAACTCGCTTCATCTTTCACAACATGCATAACACCGGGAGTGAAGTAAGATCTGTGGCCTATTTTAACGAGAAATCCTCCCACAGGAATCATTAGCCCTCCAACACATCCCAGCACTTACACAGATAATAAAACATGATGATAAAATACACTTGCAAATTAATGAGAATTTCATACATTCAGTATAATATGAAACTTTACACGAATATATTGTATATTTTACTTTCTGAAGTTTGTTACAGTGGAGTCCCACAGTAGATACATATCAAATACCACATATTATTATTATACTCACATTATATAAACCACTGACAAATATACAATCTTAGCTGGAACCTTTGAAGCTCTACAAATGGAGCATTATAAATATAACGGTTAAATTGTCAGATTTTTGAATGGAGTTTGGTGTGATGCACTCCCGGCGGAGCTCAGAGCTCACAGCAGGCACTCTCGCTGTCTCTTACCTTGGCTTGGTTGATGATAAGCCCCACGAACGTTGACACCAGCACCGACCCGGACATGCTGCCTTTTCTTCGCATCTCCTGCTTTAGGAACGGGAAAGCAGCGGCGGGCGGCTCCTCGGGAACTGTCACCGTGTAGGACTGTCGCATGCTCGGCATGCTGGCGGAGGAATGAAACCGATCACCGGTACGAGTTACTCAGACAACGGCGTAGGTCTCCGAGTGCTCCCGCTGACTGGATGATGAGCTTTCTATCTCAGGGAAGCCAATCACACGTTTCACCAGCTTTCTCTGCTTGTAGTCATTCATTCAACGATATAGACGACCTGTGGCTTCTCCTTCCACGCCGTGCTACTACAGACTGCAATGAACACGCTAAAAGCGACAAACACGTGGTAAAGCCGAGTGTTATAAGAGCAACTGGCCGCTGTGTCGTTCTACGCAGGTGAGGGTCCATTCGGCGGTGTGGGTCTGTAAATGCAAATAAATGCACATTGTGTTCCCATTCCGTTTTACCGGACTGCAGGCCCGCCCCCTTTGGGCTCGGGTGAAGAAAAAAAATCGGCCCACAACAAACGTCAGCGGCCGCCTCCAACCGTGCTGGCTACGTCAGTCCAGCCTTCTCCGCGCTGCTGCTACAGTCTGAAGGACTAAACGCTGTGCTCCAAGGAGACTACGCATCTCCATTTCGATCACGACACAAAAGTCACCCATAAGGGCAACTACTGTATAAAAATCTGTGTAATAGTATGGTAATAGCTAAAGTGAGGAAGAAACATCGGCTGTAAGGGAAAGACAGCATACACTCTTAATGTGATGGCAGGGACAAGTAGTTCTAAAATTAGGATGTGCAGTCCTAAAAAAAACGGTTGTTAATGACGTTTCCGGTGAATCACCAGCAAAGACAAAGACACATTAGTGTTAGTTCTGGTCTGTCTTAATGAGAGGGTGTAGTAGAATGACAGCCTAGATCTATCAGCAGTACCCAAGCAAGCACAGAGTGCCGCTCAGCAGTCTGCTAAATATCCCATACAGTCCGCATGTAGCAGATTAACAACAACTAATGTCCAAATGGTACACTGTATTAGTAACAGAAGTTACAAAATGAACACCATATAACATTCTCTGACCTGAAACTATGAATTAATCCTGTAAACCCATCAATGAAGTGTTTAATTAGGTCACAGATCACAGGAATAACTCCTGTTGGCTATTCCAGGTTTACTTAGACAAAAGTAACAAGGGTTATAGTGAGTAATAACTAGTTGTTTAATGATGACATTCATCAAAATACCAAAGATTACTAATAAGATAACAAAACTCATGGTAAAAATTCAAGTCTAAGGTTCATAGTTGAGGAATGCAAAAGTAAGATAAATACAGACTATCCCTCTTAGTGTCAGAGTACACTCATGGATTTTCGTGGAGTTCACAGAAAAAGTGTTAAAGAAAAACAAGTGTTTCCATGATGGCAGTCAGGTGGCACACAAAGGTGGAATTATTGTGAGTAAGGAGGACTTAATGTTCTGTCTCATCCTTTTTTCTAAGTGAATGATGGTCACATTTTACAATTCAGGCAACCCCAAATAGACCTGCTGTAGAAATACTGAGAGCTACAAGTTACAGTAATGCTTGTGATCACACAGGTCTGTTGACTATAAGCACCTGTGACTATAAGGTTTTGATGACAGCTCACCCGACACCCGGAATTATATTCATGCTAAAAAGAAATTTCCCAATGAATGTAGTTAATAAAACAACCAAATGTCCTGTACCTGCCCTTCCACGTATGGGCAGTATAATTCAACATTGCATCAAACAGGCGAATTGCTGACAAAAGTAACATAAGTACAAGCTGATTTTAGCTGATCCGGTGTGTGAAGTGGAGGAAGTGCAACATGTACCCAACAACAATATCATAACCCAGACTCAAGTGTGTGTACACAACAAATACCGGTAACCAAAGAGCACAGTCCATCTGCAGACTAAACACTTGTGTGTGTCTGTGTGTGTGTGTGTGTGTGAGAGAGAGAAAGAGTCTAAATCCCTGAAGAAGAAACCTGCAATGTGAGAAGGGTCTGTATTCTGATATGTGATGCAAAAAGCTACATAATCTAAAATTGGGACAAATGAGTCTGAGCAGTGTTTTCTGGGAGAAGTCAGAGTACAGTTACCTTGGGAGGACTGTTCTATTACTTAGGCACATCAGGCTGATTATCTCCTCGCTCAAATGTTTAAATTTAATCTAGGAACAACATATTTCATACTTTTTATTGCTGTTCGTGCGCCGTTATTCATTCTATAGTCACGCGTCGTACAGAGCATACTTTGACTTACTAGCACCGATTCAGATTCAGAACTAAAGGAAGAATGCAGGCGATCCTTCAATATAAAGCAGCTACATAGTTACAGCTCTGCCCATTAATCCATCTTTCTGTCATAGTCAGATTGTCTCCAGGTTCATGTGGTATCAAATAGAATCCATAAACTGTATATAAAAAGTTGACAGAGCCATCTGTCTGGATTTTGAAGCCAGAAGTAACCAAGCTCTAGTTATCAGCTCAGTCTTGCTAGCTTGGTTAAGAATCTGCATGTATTATTGAGAACAGATGCCAAAGTCAGACACAAATATCTGCAAATTATATATATCATATATAAGCAGATAATAGTTTATTTATTAGATATTTAATACTGTGCCTACATTGCCAGGGATAGAGATGGAAATTAGTTTTTAGATAAATGTAAAAAAAGGCATCTTCTCTTTTCTGGGATGTTTTTTTACATGGTTCCTCACAAATACAACATAAAACTCACATTAAACTAAGAAAATATCTAAAGTTCCACAACTGGTTCAGGTGAGAAAATTGATCTTTATGGTTTTCTAAGCTAATTCCCTCTGATAAGAAAGACTGTGAAATATGGCGGAGAGCCAGCACTAAGTAATATATGAATCTTGACTTGAGTATATTCTGTCACACTATCAGATAACTAACAAATTAAGTCAACAATTAAACACTGATGCCCATTGTTCCTATAGTGGCTTGACGTAACCTCAGCATCAGATGGTGGTTGAGGAGGGAAAGCTGACCTACAAAGCAAAGCTCTTGATTTAGCGGTCTATATTCATCAATCTTTTGAGTTTACTTGTGAGATAACAATTCTAAGCTCTTGGTGAAACTCGCCAGAGAAAGTCAGGGCTCAGCCAGTTGCTATGAGTGACTATTTAGTTGGAAGAAAGATCAGAACGTCTATCAGACACAAATGACCAGACAGTATATGCTGACATCTGCATAGCACTTTAGAAGTGGTAGTCAACCAGCTGCCACAGCTAGAAAACAAAACAGATGATTTAAATCTGAACCATCTCTCTGTGTTAACCTCAAGGTCCAAACAATAACAGGCCATCTTGGATTTAAAGATCCGAGTAGTGATACTCAAAAACCACTGCAGGTTTAGTACTGGGGCAGTGAACAGTAGTTTTAGAGTCCTGCTATAATGATTGCTCTGACAGATATGGCACACCCACAAACCTACCAATCAGGCAGAACTACAATAGCAGCTTGTAAACCTGAGCTACTTAAAAGGCTGGCCCTTCTCTGCCAAAGAACAAGGAAAAGCTCCATCTTGTACCAGACTGTTTATTTTCTCTTAAATCAAACCATAAGCTGTCTGGCTAAGGTGTCAAACCGAGAGTCAGACTGTCTAAACATACTGTTGACCCAACAAAAAGTCTAGACACAAAGCACAAATGGATCTGCTGAGTTTAGTCTCAAGGATGCCACCGTGCCCTGTTGTAGCTGTTTGTCTCCACAAGCAAACATGGAAAAGTGTCAGTGAAGGGCCATTAGTGTCTTTTCAAAGAGCTGGCTTTTGAAAGTGGTCTGAATCTGTGTTGTTGATGGGAGAACAACAATACACACAACTGAGACAACAAAATGTGTCAACATTTAAATGATAATAATACTGTTCTCTGTTGAATATGTCTGACTAACCCAAGAGTAGGGATGGGTACCGGTGTCCGGTGCCATGATGGCACCGGTTCTGACATAAACGGTAGTAACCAGACCGAAAAGCAGCGCACATTTCGGTGCTTTATTTCGGTGCTTTTTTTTCCTGAGCTGTGATACACTTCTAGCCAATCATTTTACGTTTCCGAGGATAGTAGGCGGGCCCAGGTACGTACGTTCTTTTAGAGCAGAGCTACAGATTAAAAATGCCCAAGGCGAAGCGGTCAAAAGTCTGGCTGTACTTCACAGCAAAAGATGCAAACTCAGCAGCCTGCAACAAGTGCTTTAAGCTGATACTGTCAAAGGAGGTAACTCCTCAAATCCGATGAAACACCTGGCGACGCATAGCGTTTTTTTTTCTTCCAAAAACCAAGAAATGCGCTGTATTTGATAGCTTGCTGCGAGACCTCACACCGAGCGCATCTACTGCGGTGTGGTGCCTGTTATCGGACCCGGAGTTAGCAACATACCCAAAAACACGAAGAGGAGAGTCCTGGCCCCTAGCCCTGCCAGTGTAGCAGAAATGATGACGGATGATGATGCAGCAGCAGCCGTTCTTCTCTGCGTGAGTAATTTACGTTGAGTAGGCTAACCACGTTATTACATTAATGCATGTAAGGTGAACTAGCAAACATCATCATAGCTACATGCGGCTGTCTTCTTGTTTGATGGCAGATGCTCCCTTCACCCTGGCCAAAAAGGCTAAAATGACCAAAGAAAAAGTGAAAAACAGTTAAACATGAGAGGTTTTTGGACAAAGTTTGTGTTTTTTCCATTGTTTAAGCACTGCTTCCAGCCAAGAGTGATACCATATATGCCATAGCTGCAGAAAAGGCTAACATTGTTATTTTTTACAAAATCAAATCAAATCAAATCACTTTTATTGTCACATCACATGTGCAGGTACATTGGTACAGCACATGTGAGTGAAATTCTTGTGTGCGAGCTTCACAAGCAACAGAGTTGTGCAAAATACAATAATGTAAACAAGCAAAATACAAGAATGGCTACATCTGAAACTAATAAATATATGTACAATATATAATAGTATATGCATTTCTGGATGTGTATACTAAATATTTTTCTACGTGTGTGTGTGTGTGTGTGTGTGTGTACACATATTTTACAAATTAAATAGAGTAAACAATAAATAAAATATATAAAAATATACAGAGTTGAGACATGTGCAAAACAGTGGCATTACTGTACAGTATGGAGTGCATAATGTTAAAGTTCCAGTAGTGAAGCTGAGGTGTCTATGACGTGTTCAGCAGTCTGATGGCCTGGTGAACCAGCTGAACATGAGAGGTTTTTGGACCAATTTTGTGTTCTCCATTCTTTAAGCACCGGTTCGAGCACCGTTTAAGCACCGGCACCGTTTCAAAAGTACCGATTTGGCACCGGTATCGGATAAAACCTAAACGATACCCATCCCTACCCAAGAGTGTGTTTAGAGCTTGGTGGCTTATTTGTATCAGATCTCACTTATAATAATGTTGAGTGAGCACTTTTAGCATAGCTTTGTGATAATGCTAATAAGTTTAACTGTTAAGATAGCCAAAATACAAAAGCTTGTGCGATGTGGATTGTGTCATGGGTGCTAGCTATGCCATTCAAAACCTCGCACTACACGATGCACACACGATTAAGGCAAAACACAGGCCGATCCCCAAAACGGTTGCGCAACTGAAAAATCGCCTCTAAATGGGCCAAAAATCGCACAGTGTATGGCCAGCTTTTGGAGGCTAGCTCCAAACAAACATGGTAAATGGTAAATGGCCTGTATTTGTATAGCGCTTTTACTAGTCCCTAAGGACCCCAAAGCGCTTTACACGTCCAGTCATCCACCCATTCACACACACATTCACACACTGATCATAGTGTGCAGCTTGGCAGTGTATACAGCACTATAATGACCAGACCTAATTCTTTTGAAAACCTTACATCTTTCCCAGGTCTCCACTTCATCAAACATTGCCTAGACACAGAGCTGGATGAGGCCAGCACAAACAGCGGCCTATTCGACGAAGATGATGGATCCATGGGGTCAGGAAAGCCAGAAGCAGGGGAGCTGGAGAGGTACCTTTCGTGTCCATTCACTGGAGGTGTGGATCTATTGCATGGCTTTCCTCACATCAAGAAGCTGTCGATCAAAGTCAATACAGCTCTTCCTGCATCTGGAGCTTGTGAAGGATTCTTAGTCATGCAGGACTCCTGTTCACTGCTAAACAGTTACAGCTTCACAGAAAGAACCTTGAGAGCAAACTGCTGCTTAAGCTTAACCATCACCTCACTGAGTTAAGAAATGGCACATTTTTGCTAAATATGCAGAAATAAATGCACACCCATTCAACTTATGGTAAACTGAGCTGCCTTGTATGAACATATGTTGAAGATGCCTCGTTCTAATGTTTTCTCTGAGGCTGCTGTGCCATTTGGAGCAAAAATGAATATAACGTTTACAGCATATCTTGTCACTGGAAATTGTTTGCAATGTTTATATATTTATATTATTTACTGTAGGTATTGGTGAAAAAAGCTTTATGTTGTGAAAAACTGAAATCTGGAAATTAGAATTGTTGTGCCTTATTTTGTTGATGTTTTTACATATATTCCTTTTGAAAATGGTAAAATTTGTATATTTATTTATATTTGTTTGTCTGGTAACATTTATTTAATAAATAAATCAGATATTTCAAACAGTTACTCACTACTTGAGTAGTCTTTTCGCCAAGTACTTTTTTTACTCTTACTTGAGTAACTTTTTTGACGACTACTTTTCACTTTTACTTGAGTAATAATTTTTTTAAGTAATGCTACTCGTACTTGAGTACAACTTTTGGATACTCAACCCACCAGAAGGATACATGATTTATTAAGCCTCAGCATTTGAAAGCTCTCTTAATCACAATGCATTCTTACCTGCATTGTCATGGCCATGCACATATGCACCACACAGTGATTACACTTCATTGCCTGCCTATTTGTCAAAGTTCTATTTAAGCATATCTACTTTCACAAGAGTCACAAGATTTTCAGAAAATTTGACCTCTGACCTTGACGTCAGGTCACCCAAACTAGAACTCGTCCCAGATTTTTACTAGATGCCACTATAGTATCAGTGTGAAAATCCGAGGTACCCAAGAAAAAAGACAAGTGGTCACATTCTACATAAAGAGGCTGAAAAAAGGAGATTAAAAAAAATGAAGGGAAATAAACAAAGTTGGCTGCATTAAAATCAGTAAGAAACAATGAGTCTGGGCTGGTGGACATACACTATTTTCATACACCAAACAAGTGCAAGCAACAGGAACTGTGCACTGTACTGCAAAGCAAGTTCAACATACCCAGGTTATCTTTCTGTTATCAGGCTTCACTTACTGTAACATCGGCAGTCAGGCTAAGGGGTTACATCACTGTACTGACTTAGCAAGTTGATAACCATGGGTTTTCTTAATGTCGCTATGCGTACCTTCACACAAAATAGGTGGCAATGCCAGTCTCTGGCCATCAAAAACATTACAGCAATTGTTGTGAAACTGTTTGCAGGAAAGAGGGAAAAAAATCTTAATCATACTTAAGCATGTGGACCAGAGTACTCGGGGATGGATCCCAGGAAAATATTTGCTGAGATCACTGATCAAGTGCAAGTCAGTATACTTATTTTACAACTAGATTTCTTTTTGAAACCAGAGAACTCACCATTTGCTGGCCACTGGGAAGAATATAAGCTTAAGGCATTCAACATTAGCTTAACCTTCCCGACTGGGAAGCTACTTCCATCTTTTATATATAATCTATTGGTCTAATCAGTACATCCATTGTTTTCCCAAAGACATGTCTAAAGCACTACACAGCTTCGTAAGTCAAAATCCACTGGGGCTGCTTTCTGCACGCTCTGCTGTCAGTGTTGACACCAAGCCCCTGGGAAGATGGTGATTATATGTGCTTGAGTTCATTAGCAATATGCACAGGCCAGCTGGTGACCTCCAGTTAAAGTCCTGCACTTTTCAGACCTTGCGTGTTAAAAAGGTGTTGATTACCTAAGGGGTTAAAATGAATAACCCTAGCAAAGAACAAGGAATTCTTTATAACCAGTATTTCACCTTTGCTTTAATAAAGCTAGGGCTGCACGATATTAGGAAAACCTGCGATGTGCGATAACTGTGATCAATACTGCGATAACGATATGACTTGCGATAAAATAAATAGCAAAA